TTAAAGGAGCTAAATCGCTAACATTTGGGACCTAGAAATTGACACAAGTGGGTCGCAACTCATATAATACTGTAATATCAATGTATATAAACTGATTTACATTCAATCGTTTCCGTTTTTACTCTAATTTCAAATCAGTTATGTTCCGTGAAATAAGCCAGCAGTCTCAATTGAATGCAAATTCCTAGCGTCTGGTTATTCCAGTCTACATACGCCGTTTGGTTTGGTGCAATATGTCTAGCCTCGTTCCTCGAGTCTCTTGCTAGAACTTGGGCTGAAACGCATTATGGTACACGATTCGTGTACCAATGGTAAAATACTTATTTTGTCTTAAATATTGGATATCAGAAGCCCATCTTTTTCCGGTAAGATCACAGCATCAATGTTGTTTTAAATTGACAAATAATTCGTGTTTTCAATGTTGAAGATTTTGGGTGATATTGAGGTCGAGACTTAGCTACTTTAAAGCGAATGGAAGTAGTTTCCATTGACTTCCGGTGGGAAATGCCAATTTCCGGTGTCAAACTGAGGCTGATTTCAGCCAATAATCTTTGGATTTTCATAATCTGAAGTTCATTCTGGGGGTTTTTCATCATGCTGACCCCATTCTAGAGTTCCAATTTTTCGACCCTTGACCCCTCTGGGAGGGGCCGTTGTGAAATCCGGACCCCTCTGACCGAGTCCATGGCAATTTCTGCCAACAATGGTTGGATTTTCATAATCTGAAGTTTATTCTGGGGTTTTGCCATCTATGATACACTTAAAAATACATTAGTTAAGAGTTTAATAAAGAGTTGGTCATTCTTGCTATAATAATTCAAAAATAGATGATAAAAAAAATATTGAAAATTTCATTCAAATTACTTCATTCTCAGCCAAGTTATCATTGTTTGTAGTTTTGACAAGATGTGTGCACAGTGGTAACAAAGACACTGGTATAATCGGGACTTGTTTGTTAATAAATGTCTAATTAATAGTTTATATAACATTTCAGGCCTAAAGAAAGACCTGCAATAGGCAGATTTAGCTCTTGCATAGTGTATGTTTAAAGCAAATGGGAGGAGTTTTCATTGAATTCCGGTGGGGAATACCAATTTACGGTGTCTCAGCCTATCACTTTTTGTGGATTTTGAAGCATGGTAAAATGATTAATATGGTCACTTTTGGGTGACTGGGATGTTATGTCATGAGATTCAAGACACTTTGACATTTGTAACAAGTAGCCTAAACAAGTTTAATATCAAAAACAAAAAGAATCTTAACAAGCCAGAAGTCGCCAGAAACGAAACAAAAAGATCCTATCTTAGAAATAAATATATCAATTATTCATCATCCTCGTCCTCTTGCACACCCCTAATCATATTGGTACGGTCCCTACCAAAACACGCGCAGAAAGATGTATAAAGCAGACTGCATTGCCCTGTGCAGCCTGTTTTACAACCACATTTTGTGAGTTCAATTACAGCGCGATTGGCAGGCAGATTAAGATTCGGCACAGGAACATAAATGCCCTTGTCCAACTGCCAGATACGCTTTCGTTAAATGGCAGGAAGGTTCAGGGATCGGGTTAGGTACGACTTGTCGCGTATCGCGGTGTACATTGTTCCTGGGATATGGGGCGACAATGCAGCACGAGTCAGTGGAAGCATCTCTCTCTCAACCAAGTTTCCTGAACTGAACAATTTCCATCTAGGTGCCGGTAGGTTTAATAGAACAGATTAAGAGTAGACTTGGCAGGCAAATCTCTCCAATTCCTTGACCTGCGAAGGCAAGTCACCCTTCTCCAAATCAGGCTTCATGTATGCACCAGCCCTTGTTTTCTTTGTCATGCCCACAAGTTCACCTATCCAGTAAGCACCAGAGAAGCCGCGAAGTCCAATTAGACCTTGAGACTTATGATTTCCAATGACACCCACTCGCTCGATCACATCTATCTCTAGATCTCTGTGTTTTGTGGCCTTCTCGGTTACAAACTTGAGATGACTGCAAATACCGAGACGACCCGGGAGACAAGGTCTATGAGAATTGTGAGGGCATCGGCTTCACGTGACCAAACACATGCTTCCCGCCAGTGACTCTCAGCTACAGATTCAAGATCTAAGAGTTTCTCAATGATAAGAACCCTGTGTAATGTAGCCTCCTGTATCAAACAGGCCAGGATATGCTGTTGAAGGAGCAAAGGCTCAACCAGTGTCATATGCTAGCCTGGTTGATACAGCACAGGCTACACCACCCAAAGTTCTTATCATTTATGCTATGGCTGTACGTCAGAGTATGAATAAAACATGTAGAAACGCCCTGGCCTACAAGTGGCATTCACCACGCGAATCGACTTAGAAGCCAAAAAAAGTGGTACTGCGTGATAGATTTCTCTAAACTGAAATCGATATTTGTAACCGGAAGTCAATAAAAATACTTCCCTTCGCTTCTGTATCTGTATCTGTATTAATACCCAGACTCACTCAAAGCTGAGTATTATGCTGGGGTCAGAAAATTTGAACCCCAACATTTTTGTATAGCTTGGTCCCAAATTAACCCAAAACAACAAAAAAATCAATTTTAGCATACAAATCCTACGGGAGCTGTTTTGATGACATGTCATACAACACTAATATGTATAACCATGTTTCTTCCTGTTAAGACAAAGGACGTGACGTAAAAGCTATATTTTTTAATATAAAAAGCACATTTGATAGGGTATGGTGTTTTAGATCTATCAAAAATTATTTATCCAATAGAAAGCAATCAGTTATTATTAATAATGATTCCTCAGCTTTTAAAAATATATATTCCGGCGTACCTCAGGGGTCCGTACTGGGACCCCTCCTTTTTCTAATTTTCATTAACGATATTACAAATGAAATTATCTCCCGATTAGGATTATTCGCAGATGATACTTTGTTTTTTTGAGTAATAGATAATCCCCCCGACACCCTTAATACTTTGAATAATGATCTAAAGAAAATTCATGATTGGTCAGAAAGATGGAAGGTCGAATTCAACCCAGACAAAACTATCAGTCTTACATTTAGTAGAAAAAAACAACCCAACTTTGCATGTGGCTTATTTTAATGATATCCCTTTATATGATGAAAATACCCATAAACATTTAGGTTTTATTTTTAACAAACATTGCAAATGAGACAATCGCGTCGATTTTTTAATTCGTAAAACCTCAATCATGGTCGACTGTCTGAGAAGTTTGAAATTTAGACTATCGCGTAAATCATTGAGTATTTTGTATACATGTAATTCTTTTATTCTTTCTATTTTTGATTACGCTGATTGATAATATAGTCTGGAATAGTACTACTGAAATAAATTCACAAAAATTAGAAAAGCTACACTTAGATGCGTTACGAACGATAACTGGCCTGCCTCGTGGAACCTCCCATAATACACTTTATACTGAATCCGGATTGTCATCTTTATCAGTGCGACGTCAAGCTCATAAATTAATAATGTTTTACAAATGGTAAATAAAACAGCTCCCAATTATCTTTGTTGTCTTATTCCGCCAATTACCTCTTCCAACAACCCTTACAACCTACGTAACTCCGACCACATTACAAAAATTAAATTTAAAACTAATATTTATAAAAACTACTTTTTGCCGTCTACTATAAAAGCGTGGAATAGTTTAGATTTTGAAATAAAAGGGGCCTCATCTGTCTCTGATTTTAAAACTAAGCTGTATCCAACCTTATTTCCAAAAGTTAACAAACTGTTTTTCTATGGCGAACGACAATTCCAAATTATCCATTGTAAATGACAATCCCCGATGTGACTGTGATCTCGACCTTGAAACCACCGAACACTTTTTACTCTACTGTCCATACTAAACACTTCAGCGAAATAATACCATTGATATTTTACCAATGTATTTTAGAAATATTATTTGCCTACTCTATGGTAATGCCGAATTATCTCCAGACGTCAACAGCGATATTTTTAAAAGTGTAAACAAATATATTAAAGATACAAAACGTTTTACTGATTGGGGTGAGGAACTTATTTATTTATTTATTTTTTTTTTTTTAAATATATATTTTTTTCTTTTTATTTCTTTTTTATCTTTATTTAGGTCTATTTATTTATTTTGTTTAATTTTTTTCTATTTTTTTTTCTATGTATTTATTTATGTATTTATTCAACATCATTTATCTGCTTATTTGGACCATAACTAAAATAATATAATTAGTTTTTGTCTGTATCATATATAATTCGACATTGTACATATTATATTATACACCCAAACCAGAAGGAAGCAAATTAATATAAGCCTACTTGGCTTGTTTTTGTATCCTATTATTTATGCTTTTTACATTGTATAATATTCTCCGGGGGGGGGGGGGTAGCACGCGCGCGTTCTATCATACGGTCTGTCATTGAGTCAACAGGCGTGGTTTCGATTCCCCGGTTGTACGTGACAAGGAGTTGGGTCGCCTGTCCAACCTCGTGGGTTTTCTCCGGGTCCTCCGGTTTCCTCCCACAGCTAAAGACCCCTACGCGCAAGCGAATTATTGAAATAAAATTGAACCATGTGTTAGTCCCGAAATGACCTAGTTTGTGTCGAGTGGACGTTAAACCCCATCTCTCTCAATCTCTCTCTCTCTCTTGTATAATATTCTCAAAATAAATACTGTTTAAACCAATAAAAAGAGAATTACTAGTCTGATTCCATCATATTAAATGCAGTAGTTTCCCTTTGACCACGAAAAAAACCGTCGTACACTGCCATCTAGTGTTTATTTCATTAAAAGTTTGACCGGATGGGCCTCTCACATAGAGTTTGTATTATGGGGCGACGCGTATCACTAACTCTTTATTTGATAACAACTATTAACATTTATTTACCATTGTAGCTGCAAGAAGTGTTTTCAATAAACGACATTTAAATTCATAACGTGTCACTTAACCATAAATCAAATTTATTGCATTTCAGTGAGGACTACTTTGTATCTTCGAAAGAGCGTAATATTATTAGTACCGATGTTGTTCGGTTCAAATTGAAGTGTGGATTTGTCTGTGTATTCTTATGGATATGAAATGAATTTTTCTGGAAATATGTATTTGTAATTGATTTTGAAAGAATAAAGTATTTGGAAGGATTCCCCACTAATTGGAGATATGAGTGATCCGTACGTGTGCTTTAAACCACCTCCGGAGGCACCGGTGTTCACTCCAACAGAAGAGGAATTTGCTGATCCACTGGGCTACATAGCCAAAATTCGTCCAGTGGCTGAAAAATCAGGAATTTGTAAAATAAAGCCACCACCGGTTAGTTTCAGATGCTATAAATGTCAAATCTAGGGAAAACGTTAGTTATGATTCAGATGTTAGTAGCTTTGGGGTGTAATATTGGTCTGAGTATCGTACGTGATAAGTGGAACCAGGAACATGGCGACTATTACTATGGTTGAGCTTTGTTTGCAATGCAACAGTGGGAAGGCTATGGCTGTCACTTTCAACTCTTTAAAGATGACAACCTTTCTGAATAAAATCTGGAAAGATGCATTGTAATGCATTCTAAATTACTTTTATATTAAATTCCAAATAACAGTTTTTAAACATTTCCGTGATATCTATTATATTGAAAATAATTTTCGATAAAAATAGACTTGTCGGTAAAGAGTGGAGGCCCTTCTCTCATTGTAAATGTTGATTGCATAGACGAACCATCGCGCAGACGTAGGAGTAGACGAAGTAACCTAATTTCTGAGAAATAATTTTGGGATTTTTGTAACATGATTTTTTGTTTATTTTTTTAAAAAAAAACAATTTTGTAATGAGAATTAAGACACTAATATTTTGTTAAAAACTGGAAAATTGAAGAAAATATTTAAATTATTTTGATGGACAATATATTTTTAGTCTAATATGTAATGAATTTATTTTAGTATGCAGGGGGTTGGGGGATAAAATAGCAGTTTTTGAAATATATTTTTGTTATATAACAAGATAGGAAAATAAATAATGGCCAACAAGGCCTAGTATATAATTTGAAAATTCAGGTTGCTTTTTTTTCATGTTACATCAAACAAGGTGTTGGGGATTTCAGCTGTGATTGGTCATTAATTAATTAATGAAAATCGTTGACATATGATTAGCTTTTTCAATTCTATTCATTTTAATGTAATATTTCAAAAACAAAAGAAACATTACCAGATTTAGTTTTTGAATTTGTAGGTCATTTCTAGATAGGCCTTTTATATTTTTATATTTTTTTCCATTAAATTATATGTATTGGCTAGGCTGACTATATATTTTTGTGGAAATTGAGACTGTAGTTGTTTGTAACAGTTATTGGAAGAGATTAATATGTTATTATTAACTTTTAGGATTGGCAACCACCCTTCGCAGTTGATGTGGAAACATTTAAATTTACTCCGAGGATACAGAAACTTAACGAACTGGAGGTAAACCATCTTTTTTGGATTTTTTTTTCATAATTAAATAATCATTTGCATTGCAGAAAATACTTGTTCATGTTTTATATTTCACTACATGTAAGTGATTTGCATAGCCATTGCTGAATGTAACCCTGAAATTCTTCATGGCAGCCATATTGAATTTATATTTTGCTGTTCCTTCCAAATATATGTTTCTAATTGTAAGGCACAATCTTATTTCATTTCTTGTATGTAAATTAATTTTTGGAGCATCGAAAAAAAATGTTCATACGAAAAAAAATTATCAATTTGTCAGGGTAAGAAACAAATCAATTCAAGTCCATACATTGTGCAAAGTCCTTTCATTGTCTTCATTGACTTTATAATTGAAAAATTGATGCTTTATTATATATAATATGATCAACACAAACATATTTTTCTTTTTAGGCAAAATCTAGGATTAAATTGAATTTTTTGGATCAGCTTGCTCGATTCTGGGAGCTTCAGGTAAGTTCTGGATGTTTTTCTTTTCATTAATTTCCATTCTATCATTTTATTTCACTTATGGTAGTCCTACCCAATGAATATTGATATTTTTTTTAATAAAAAGTAATTTAAAAGTACTAAAAGATAAGATTATTTGTATGAAAAACAACAATATGGTTGGCAGAGATTGTGATGTAAGCATACATGCATATGTCTCATTGTGGATTGTTAAAACAGTGATAAAATAGCTCATTTCAACAGGTTTAAAACAAATGAAACCAAAAAGAGAACAAAATGATATTTCAGAGGCAATTTCAAAACCCTGATTACTCAGAACAATTGACTTTTTTTTATAAGCTTATAAAAAGAAAAATCAATGTACATGGCTGATTTGTTTTATTTATTAATTGATATTGTATTAAACTATATTTTGGATCAAAAGTATCAAAATGGACCAATAATCATTAATATTTTTTGCATTATTGTTGAAGGGTTGTTCTTTGAGAATTCCTACTGTGGAAAGGAAACTCTTGGATCTAAATGACTTGTACAAGGTAAGTTTGTCAGCCATCTTGAATTCTGTAATTTACCAACTAGCCAAGTATGAGGTCAAGCTGTGTAGTAGCAGAGCAGCTCAAGAGCCTTAAAATATTTTTTTTAATAATAATTTAAAAAGCTGTGTTTCCAATTTATTTGAGATAAGTTCATAAATCTATTTGAAAATCTGTGGTTTAAGGCCAAGAATACATGCAATCACCTAAAATACACTGTCAGTTGTCACATCAATATGACTAGGCCAAACACTGTAAACAACTATATTTAATGTATGTATAAGTTGATCAGTAGTGCCTATACATGTACAGTGCACTGTATTATTAATGCTGTATAATGTAGTAAAATTAGTTGTAGGCTAGGATTATTTATATGGTCATTATATAGCCTCTTAGTTTGTATTTATTTTTAGAATTTAAAATATTTATAATAATTTTAGAATGTTGATGCAGAAGGAGGATATGAATGTGTAAATAATGAAAGAAAATGGTCAAAAGTTTCTACTAAATTAGGATTTCCCACCGGCAAGGGTATAGGCAGTATAATTAGATCTCATTATGAAAGAATTCTTTATCCATATCTTCTGTTTAAAAAAGGAGAGACATTGAAATTTGATGTAAGTAGTTTTATTCATTTTCAAATCACCCATGATATGTATGCTATAGATAGTATAAATAACATTTATTACTGTGTATAGAACAGTCTCATTTTGGTTGTCTATGGAATTTGGTTATTTAGTTTCGAGAAATATAGGGTTGCCTGCCATTGTTTCATGTACCTAGGCTTAGCAGCAATTAGAGAATCAAACTACTATGTTATTCTAACACTACATGTTTTTACCGGATATCTGACCCAGTTGTTTGCTGCACACCTTACATGGGTCATCTAAATCCTAGCCCTGGCAAGGGACACTTTATAGGCGTTCGGATGGGATGAAATACTGAGGACCCGTACACCTAAAAGAACCCTTGACAGTTGGAATTCACTATAAGAGTAGGTTGTTGTCCGAGCAAAATTTCCTTAATAGTACACTGTATGCCATATGTCCATCTTCAATAGCCCAGTCAGTGCAGAACAGTAGGATGTTAAATCCCATTTCATTACGGTACTAAAGCCTAGCTGCCATGTTGCTCATTAAGTTCCTGAAAGATATTGTAATATAATTTGATTTGTTTTATGACAGAAGTTGAAGAAAAGTAATGAGGAAGAAGATAAAACAGATGGTGAATATAAACCACGTAAAGTAGAAGCTGATTCTACAAGTGGTCATGGACGTAAAGCTACAAGATCAAATAAAGAAGTATGTATTATTCATTTATTGTTTTAAAATGAGACGCAAGTCTGTTCAAATCTCAATTACCAATGGGGATTGCTTTGCAATAGGTCTTTATTTCGACAGTTGAAGGGAAATTTTTAAATTACAAAGAGTTTTCAGTTTCAATTTCCATCATATTATATTACATGGTAGCCATGTAACATTGCATCCCACTTTGACAAAATATAAATTTAAACATTGATCTGTCACCGTCCTGCTGTATTCAGGACTTAGAAACAATCAATTATAAAACTGACAGTGCAAACAAAACTTCCTGATATTACTATCTGCATCATGTGAATTTATTGTATTTCAGGAACCAGTTATTAACTACAGTGCTAATTCAGAGTTGAAGAAGTTACAGTTTTTTGGTGCTGGTCCCAAGGCTGCTGTCCCATCAGGTCCTTCAGGTGATCAAATAGATAAAAGCTACTGCTTCTTGGTGACACAATAGTTCAATTTCTCATAGTTCTTGTTCAATTTTTCATTGTTTAAATTCTGGCCACAGTGCCATATTAATTTGCTTTCAAATTTTTTATTTCTGGTACTTTTGTTTGGAATACCTCTTTAATAACTGCGTGCATGTAGTTTAATTTTGTTGGAGCTTGGTTAATACATAATTTTGTAGTAGAACTCTTTAAATTACCTTTTGGATATATGGTAGTTAACTCAATTTTCCCATATCTTTGCTTGACATGCAGCATGAAATGTAGTATATATGACTTAGAATAAGTTAGAATAAGTTAGAAGATAACTGATATTTAGAATATATACCTTTAATTTACACATATACCGATCACAAGGTTGATTTTTTAGAATAAGTCTCTCGTATATTACAATTTGGAAAATTTAAGCAATATGGTCACGATATGATTGGAAATAACAAGATATTTATATTTGAGTTTCAAATTTAAGTGGTATTGCATTCATATTTGAGTTTTAAGAATGGAGGAATAATTGTAGTGGTAATATTATTTAAAAGTTACCAATCAGTTAATATAGTTAAATATAAAATGAAAGTATCATGGTTTGACTATTAAAAAGTGCCATTTTGCACAATGAAGAACTATTGTGTTTATGGACAAAGTGCATTTATTTATTTATCGCTTTTCTTTATCTTTATTTTGTTAAACTAACATTTTTGTGAATGATACTGTGTAATGATGGCTGTCAATATGAGCATTATTGTAAAGTATAAAAGTGTAATATTTTTGCCCATCTTTAATAAAATCTATTTAAATGTCTACTTTTTTAACAAGTTATTCTGAAAATTTGAACTCTTATTTGTACTGCTGTTAAAAAGTACATAGTTTTCATTATCTACTTGTTATTTGCAAGCTTTTGAAAATTAAAGTTACATAAAGATTTGTAGAGAGTTCAATTTTTCAATGACAGTAAAACTTTGTATTATAATAATGTTTATCGTATTGTAGATGAGAAAAACGATGTAAAAGATTCAAAAACTGGTAAATCTAAGTCCAAAAGTCATCATGATAATATATTTGATGAAGGTGTATTCTCTGCTGTGGTAAGTCATGTTTAAAGGCCATTTGCAAAAAAAATAAAATGTGTTTATGTTTGGGGTTGGCTAATATAGTGAATTCTCAATTTATTTATATTCCTGCAAAGATTTTTAAAACCTTGGGGCCTTAGCTTAATTTATTTAAATCTTGTCCAGTGAATAGGATGCATTCTTAATCTATTTTGTTAATGAGACCCAAGTTCCCCATAGGGGTTGGCAAAGAAATTGTACCTAGTTGTTCAGATGGTATAAAAAGTCAAGGGTTACACATGTACACTTTGTCTGCGATGTCACCCAAGGTGGAAACGGACATAAAACCCCACAAACGAACAAACGACATGTACACATTTGCAAGCATGTTAAAAAGACCTCTTGACAATTGTATTCAAAGAAGATTCAGTCAAAGATCCTCCCACAAACAGGGTTAAGTGTCAACTAGACTACTGGTATATTGTAGAATATTGTCTTATGTTTGATTGTATGGTATATTATTACAGTTTGATAAATATCATTGTCGTACATGCGGTAGAGGTGATGGAGATGAGTATATGTTATTATGTGATGGGTGTGACGATGCCTTCCATACATATTGTTTAATACCACCATTAGCTGAAGTACCTAAAGGTGATTGGAGATGTCCTTACTGTGTTAAACAGGTACGTATATACAAAAAAATGCAATATCAGTTCATTAGCAGTTATATTTCGTGGATTGAGAACCCTTTCATCATTTTATGGTCTCCTCCTGTTTGTAAAATGTATCTAGAGTCTTACACTGCTTGTATATCATATCTTTTTTAAATACTATAAGCAGAATTTAAAAAATAAAAATTTAGGATGTAATTCATGCATACTGAAACGTGTAGGAATTTCAATTTTCACTAAAAAATTTTTTTTGTTTTTTTGTATAGGCTTGTAGCAAACCTCAAGATCCATATGGATTTGAACAGTCAAAGAGAGAATACAGTTTACAGTCATTTGGAGAAATGGCTGACCATTTTAAATCTACTTATTTTAATATGCCAGTTCATGTAAGTACACCAAATGAATTATTATATAGTGTTCAAATATTTGACTATAATCGAAAGTAAATACTGTAGACGATGAGAAACACAAGTTAAAATGAAATGAAATGGGGGTTAAAGGTCCTACTTTTCAACACCAACTGGGCTGTTGCAGTGTTTTCCCAGAACAATGGCACAACAGCCTACTCTTATTTTAATTTCCAACTGTCAAGAATTCTTTTATATGCATGGCAATGTCGTGGGGATGCCACACCTGAAAATCCTGATGTGATGAACTGTCTCTGCCAACACCAGGAAACCTAGAGACTACCTGGTTAATGGTTACTAACTGAGCCCCTGTTAAATGCTGATGAAGTAGATAAGGCCAAGGCACAAAATTGATCAGGCTTCACAAATTTATCATATTCTATCCAATTTACTTTTAATTAAAAAGTTACATGTTTTGATTGTTTCTTACAGATGGTACCAACGGAGTCCGTAGAGAAAGAATTTTGGAGATTAGTGAGTTGTCTAGAAGAGGATGTTTGTGTACAGTATGGAGCGGATATTCATGCCTCAGAAATGGGAAGTGGATTTCCAACTGCAAGTACAAAACATCTGTGTCCTGAGGATGAGGTATGGAATAAACATTTTATCAATGCAGAGTAACCAAAAGATATATATATATATTATATGTAAATATGTTATTGGTTTTGGAATTGTCTGTTCGGTTTATCGTTGTAATAATTTATTGTTTATTATTATTTGCAGGAGTATGTGAACTCAGGCTGGAATTTGAATAATTTAGCTGTGTTGGAACAATCTGTATTGTGTCATATTAATGCAGATATATCTGGTATGAAGGTAAGAACAGTATTAACATGTTTCTTTGTTTAGCAAAGCAGTTCTAGCAGGTTTGTTATTTGATTACAACTCATAAATCTCAGTAATTTTTCTTAATTAAGTCAAATAAACCATTTGGTGGCAAATGCAGAATTTCAAAGGAATAACTAGTGAAATATGGTACCGGTATGCAGATTACGAAAGTATAAAGAGAAACTCCTATTTGACAAGGTATGCAGATTAATAAAATACAATGACAAAACTACAAAAATATGAAGACATTCTCTTGCTATGTCTTCTGTCTTGGTGATATCAGATGTTCTAGAAATGTTAATAATATAATCATATGTTTCAGATACCCTGGTGTTATGTTGGAATGTGTTTTTCCAGTTTTTGTTGGCATAATGAAGATCATTGGAGCTATTCTATCAATTATCTTCATTGGTAAGATTAAGATTTCTATTAACAGTTTAACATAACCAGGTTTATGTTTATAAACAAATTGACTACTGTAACATTTCACGAGTGAAACACATTAGCCTTAGAACAATTCTGTGTAAAATTGACCAATCGCTTATATCATTTTATCAGCCCTGACAGTGCATTTGTCTGATTCTTAAAAAACCTAAATGGCAAAAGGTTATTCGTTGGTGACTAAAATCAAATAAAGCATTGTTTTAAATCTGCTTAATATCATATTTTCTGTACATTATCAGGGGTGAACCAAAGACGTGGTATGGCGTACCAGGATCTAAAGCAGAAGAATTTGAACTGGCAATGAAACATACAGCACCAGAATTATTTGAGACGGCACCAGATTTACTACATCAACTTACAACTATTATGAACCCTAATATATTAACAGAACAGGGAGTGCCTGTTAGTATACATCTCATTTAATACATCTCATTTAATTATTAATAATATGAATATAGAAGAAAATGGAATTAAATTACAGGACAGTTTGCATAGGGATTGGGTTTTTGACACTGTCTTTGTCATTTTCTGAATATGTATCAGTTAACAATTAGTTGATAATTATTACGCAGAGGTAACTCAGCATCTGGATTAAAGCTACATGTATTGGATTGACAAGAAATTTGTATCCCATTCCATCAACTCCTATATAGTATATATTCAAAATATTTGAAATCAGTTTTGGCTGTTTATCAATTGTGACGTAGATGTTAATTCTGTTCTTTGTTTTTACAGATCTGTCGAACAAATCAACATGCTGGTGAATTTATTGTAACATTTCCTAGAGCTTATCATGCAGGTTTTAATCAAGGCTATAACTTTGCTGAAGCTGTCAATTTCTGTCCTGCTGATTGGGTGAGATATATTATAAATTTTTAAAATAATTACATTTCTTTTTTGCCTCTTTAAGTTGTAAAAAAATGTATTCTATATTTTGCTCCATTTCTTGACATAAATTGGTATAACTGAGGGAAATAGTAAAATAATAATATGGTGTACTTTTTTTGTAGTTGAATACTGGTAAAGCCTGTATAGAACATTATAGACAACTAGGACGCCAGTGTGTTTTCTCTCATGAAGAATTGGTGTGTAAAATGGCTGCAGAGCCAAACAGCCTAGACTTGAATCTTGCAGCAGAAACGCACCGAAATCTTCTTACCATTGTGGATGAAGAAAGGAAATTACGCAAAAATCTCTCAAAAAAGGTGGGCTTTCTACAAACAAGATTTAAATTTGAATTACAAAACTTCGGTCTTTGAATTATTGTGATTGGCCATTGTTTAACAGGTCTTGATTTTAACAAACTCAAATCAGTGATTTATGGGTTATTTTTCTACCACAGGATTTTACATTTATATAATGTTTGAAGTGCTTGTTGGACATTGGATGATATAATTTATTGTTACATAAATAGTATATAGTGTGTGGTACATGGAATGATAAATTATTGTTACATAAATATTTTATAGGGTATGGTACATGCTGAAAGAGAAGCATTTGAACTATTACCAGATGATGAAAGACAGTGTGATTATTGTAAAACAACATGTTTTCTATCAGCTGTAACATGTGACTGTAGACCTAGTAAGTTGTATTTACACATTCACATATTTCAATTTGCTAGGGCTGTCAAACAAAACAAAAATTTGATATGTATCGATATGGTTTAATACAGTATTTGGCATATTTCCATATGCTGTCAAGTCAATCTTTGTAAACCATGGAGCTTACCCTGTAGCTAGTGTTTTGAATATATTTAGAAATCAACCATTTTTTTCCTTTCAGATAAGGTTGTTTGTTTACATCATGTATCTAAGTTATGTTCATGTCCCTCCAGTAATCTATGTTTAAGATATAGATATAGTCTAGATGAACTACCTGCCATGTTGGACAGGTTAAAAATTAGAGCAGAATCATTTGATAACTGGAATTTATCAGTTAAAACAGCTCTTGAAGCTAAAGATGATGATAAACTTGGTGAGTTTTTTTTTTTTTTATTACCGGAGAATATTTTCAATCTAAATATAGCAAGCAGTCTAGATTATATATCATATTAATAAAAAATCTTTCAGCATGGACGTTGAACAATTCAATCAACATTAGTTGCATATTTAGTCAACTGAATGATAAATCCCAACTTTTTTTTTGGTCAGAAATTCTCTAGTCCCTTTCCCATTTGTTAGAGATAACACTTTCAGCCACTTTCCAAGATATTAGAAAATAGAATTAACAGGTTGATATGTAATCAATTTTACTCACCCTATCTGCTATACTAGCACTATGGGGTTTGTTTTAGTGAACAAGTATGGCCATTAAAATCAATACTTTTTTTTATTTTATAGAATTATCTGAGCTAAGAGAGTTAATAACTGAATTTGAGGAGAAGAGATTTCCAGAAACAGAGTTATATCAGACGTTAGTCATGTCCGTTACAGAAGCAGAGAAATGTGCAGACGTAGCCAATCAGCTTGTCAGTAAAAAAGTCAGAACCAGGTAAAGAAGCAGTATATGGTTTTGTTACATTTTGTCAAATTACTTTACAGAATATCTGCTTTGTCCTGTGTTTTGAAATAAATAAACAGATGTTTTGAATGATTTATGATACTCATGATGACTTATTTCAGGAACCGGCAATCAATAGAAGGAAAGTATATAGTTAAATTAACTCATGAAGAACTGAGTGGTTTCTATGAACAGGTTGTTGGACTGCCATGTAAAATAAAAGAAACTAAATTAATTAAGGTAAGAGGGAACGAATTGACATTTAATAGAAAAAATTATAAAGATTTGATTTCCTCTGTGTAAAGTGACTGCTGAATATTTTCAATGTTTAATCTGTTGATGATCAACTTAATCCTCTCCAAAATATTGTCAGTTATGTGAACTCAAATGAGAAGTAATGTCAGGTGTTTTTAGAAAGGGGAAGCGAACCCTGTTTCATGGCATGCACAAGACATTCCTCTTTATTACTAATGGGAGAGGTAATTCAATCATCAGGTTCAAGTTAGGTGAAAGTCCCATCGGGTAAATAAATGAACATTAATGTACATAACAAAAATGAAAATATTTACATAATGTGCAAGGAGAGTATGTTTATAACACCTGTACAAAAATAGTTATATGTGTGGTTATATTTTAGTAATGAGTTCAGATATTCTCTTATTGGTTTGAAATAGAAATTGTGTGTTGCCATATAAGGAATTGGTAGTTGGGGAAAGTATAATATTTGAAAATTATTATTTAAGTATAATAATACAGTATTTTGTTGTTTACAGGAGTTATTGAACAAAGTAAATGAGTTTCAGGATGAAGCTCAACAAGCCCTGGAAGCTGAAACTCCTGATTCTGAGAAGTTAGAAAAACTTATTGATCTGGGATTAACTTTAGATGTTGATTTACAGGAAATACCAAAGCTGCGACAGGTGGGTAAACTCTTACACGGTTTGATTTGTGGTTATTTATCATTGTCACTTCTGTTCAGCTATCTATCTACTTTTTATGTTGGTGTTTTAGGAGATTATCAAAATATGAGGTCCATAACAGTAGATCAAAGTATTATTGTTGAGGATGACAAAACGCTAGAGGGGATCATAATTATTTCTATTATTATGCAGGTAATTGGGTATTGAAATTATACCGTACAGTTGCTCTATACTGTGATGTTTTAGAATATCTGATGTATGTATTTTCAGGTTTTATTACAAGCTAAATGGTTAGATGATGTACGAGTTACCTTACAAGATCCACAGAGTGTTACATTAGATATAATGCGTAAAATGATTGAAGCGGGTGTAGGTTTAACACCCCACCCAGCTGTAGAGAAAGCTATGGGAGAATTACAAGAATTATTAACTATAAGTGAAAGGTGGGAAGAAAAGGCCAGAATATGTCTACAAGCTAGGTAATAAAACAAACTTGGTTTTGAAATACTTGAGAGGTTTCAGTATTATTTGTAAGATTTCAAATGATTGCTTGTGTTATCTCTTTAAGGTCTTTACAATTCAAATACAATTTATTGCACAGTCATGTTTTTAGTAAAATGATTTATTATTATTCCTTTTGACTTATTACTTACTCGTTTTAGACCAAGACATGTTATGGCCACACTAGAAGGTATTATAAACGAATCAAAAGTAATACCAGCTTATTTACCTAATGTTAGTGCTTTAAAAGAAGCTGTGAGGAAAGCCAGAGAATGGTCTAATAAAGTTGATTCTATACAGGTAGGATTCAGGATTTTGATATTTCCCTTTTACAGAATTAATACAATATTTAGGCAATGAACAAAATATTATTTAAATGAAATGTTAAAAGAATGTATTTAGATGTAGAAATTGTGTTTAATTTATTACTATATTGTTGAAATTAAATTATTCTTGTTATTTCTTCAGAATGGTGATTCACACCCATATGTTGATGTATTAGAGAGTTTAGTCAATAAAGGCCGGCCTATACCTGTGAGATTAGATGTTTTACCCCAGATAGAAGCTCAGGTTACTACGGCTAAATCATGGAAAGAAAGAACAGCCAGAACATTCCTCAAGAAAAACTCAACTTATACATTACTAGAGGTATATTTCACTTTTTTATTATAAAAAAAATGTAACCGAAATAACTATATTGTGTTATTGTACTTAATATTTTTTCATAAAAACAAAAGAAATTTGTACAAATTGTAGTTGTTGCTCCAAAAATTAGTCAAAGCGATCAATTCTCACTCAATTCATGGCTAGTCTAAGTTCTCTTGATTTCAGTCATCCATATTCATCTCTTAGACAAACATAGTAAAAATAATTGTGTTATCTTTTCACACAAGCCAGTTCATTATTCATGTGGGTCTTTTCGTACCGAGATGTTTGTAATTAAATGATGGCAACAGTCTTTACGTTGAAAACCCTCATATTTTTGACTTTGAGATAACTGTGTATGATCTGGCTTGATGTGTCTTTATTTTTAATAAATACATTAAAGATACATTATGTAAGATTTAGATAAAGAACTAGCCATTCTTGCTTTAGCCATTCTTGCTATAATAGTTCGAAAGTAGATCATGTAAAATGAATAATTTGAAAATTTCACTCAAATTACTCTATTGCAAGCGAAGATATTAGCCTTTGAAGGTTTGACAGACGTGTGCAATAATTTCAACCACCGTACTGGTTGATTGAAGCTAAGTCTCGGTCCTCCATATTTGATCAAATCAAAGTATCGCTGAACTATTCTAATCTATTTAATATCGGAGAAATCTGATGCCATCGAGAGTTGATTAAGGCCTGGATCAGTTAATTAATGTCTAATTAATACTTTAGAAAACATTTCAGGCCTAAAGAAAGACCTGCAATAGACAGATTTAGCTCTTGCATAATGTATGTTTAATGATAATAATATTATATATATCTAGGTTTTGTCTCCACGTATTGATATTGGTATATATAGTAGTGGTAAGAATAAGAAGAAAAAGATAAGAGAAGGAGAACGTAAAGATGGAGAGAATAATAATAATGGTGATTTTAAGATAGAAGAAACACGAGATCCGGCAGCTATTGTAAGTACAAATGAATAATACAATTCAAGTAATAAAGAAAATTTAGTTGTCATTTCTTGGCTAATATATCTAAGACAATCTTGTCATCCTTTTTTTTAACAGGTAGCATCATTTAAAGCAGCTGAGAATCATGAATATGAATTAATGAAAGAATTACGACATAGAAACTGTGAGAAAATATTGTCCCAATCTAGTGATGCCAAGTTCTGTGTATGTAGAAAAGGTGCATCTGGTATGATGTTACAATGTGAACTATGTAAAGACTGGTTTCATGGTAATATATTTACTTTCTAGATTAAACAACCATCAATATTAGACACTCAAACATGGATAATCATTTATCTTGTGTCAGCCATGTTTTGATGCTATAATATGTTTTTTGTACTTGAATTGAACGTTATTGTTATTAATAGCTATTAGATTTAATTGATATTACAATTATATAGCTCTTGTCTTATTTTTTACCTGTTGACCACATAATTGTATTTATCCCCTGGTACAATAGTGATAAAAACTTACCACATAAGGGTTAAAAACCTTTTGTAACCAATATAAAAAGAGGCATTTACTATCTTTGGTATGTAATACAAGAAAATATTGAATTATATTTTTTCAATACAGTTGGTGTTCATGTAAAATGTAATTGTATATTTTTTTATTCTATTTTAGGCACTTGTGTTCCCCTACCAAAATCATCTAATTTGAAAAATAAAACCTCTCAAGCTGCAGTCATGCAAGCAGCTAAAGACATGAAATTTTTATGTCCATTATGTTTACGCTCACGTCGTCCGCGATTGGAAGCCATTTTGTCTCTGTTAGTGTCACTACAAAAATTGCCAGTACGTCTGCTAGAGGGTGAAGCATTACAGTGTTTAACGGAACGTGCCATGGCTTGGCAAGATAGAGCCAGACAATCATTAACAACCACAGAACTAGCTTCGGCTTTAGCCAAACTCAGTGTTTTGAGTCAGAAAATGGTTGAACAAGCAGCCCGGGAAAAAACCGAAAAAATAATCAATGCTGAACTGATGAAAGCTGCAAGTAATCCTGATTTACAGGATCACTTGGCTAGTGTTACACAAAGTGCGTTTAGTGGTATGAATACCGTTGCTACCATGTCACGAGAAGGTACCATGTCGTCTGTGTATGGTGTTACCGTGGATACAGACAGTTCACAATCATCAATACAGATGTCACCTCAATCCTCACAAATGTCTGACGATTTACCGGGAGAAGTGGAGGCAACAATTCCATCCGGAATGACGTCAGAACATGCTTATTCTTCAGTCTCTAAAGCTACTACCAGTAAGTTGTATTTCATTTCAGATAAAAGTTCTGAAAATATGCCTTGTAGAAATCCCAAATATTACCCTGGAAGAAAAATGTAATATATTACTTATCAAAATGCGGAAAATAACCCTGATAGAAATATCAATGAATACACTGTATCTCGTATAAAAGTAGTGAATATATAATTCTGATAAGAATACATATAACCCTTGTAAAAATATTGATTATAATCCCAATAAAAATACTGTATTTATTAACACTTATAAAGATCATAAATTGAATAAAAACCTTGATTAATTCAAGTTAATTAAAGAACAGAATCAAAACAATTAGGATTTACAATCATAATATACTATACATTCTAAAATAAGCTTACAAACCGGTCTAAACCAACATTTGACACAGTATTTCATATTTAAATTTTCAATTTTGACTTTTAATTTGTGGGAAAGGTTTATCTCATGCAATCAAACAATTTTTGAAGTAAATGATCTTGTTGTTTTATTTGTAGCATCATCACCTAGAAAACATCAACGTAAGACACCTCTTATTCCCCGTCAGTTAGAGACACCAGCACTAGAGTTATCAATAACTGCTCGACAACAATTAGAAGATTTAATGATGGAGGGAGACTTGTTAGAGGTTTCTCTGGATGAAACACAACACATCTGGAGAATATTACAAGCCTGTCAACCCAGAACTGATGATAAATTCTTAGAATTTGAGGTAGGTTCATCATGTTTAGTGAACATTTGTGTTCAGTTGATTGTTATTGTGTTGTATTAATGTTTATTGCAATCTGATTATATTTCGTTTCATTTTTTTATACTTTATATGGCCTCCACTACATGAAGATCCGACCAGTTGTAGTGGGAGGTCATACGGCTTTAGACCCTATGACATCAGACCTTTTATTAACCTACCAACGTTGATGTTTCTACTGGGATGCCCACAGTTCCGTACACCTTACGCCAAAAACGCACTGTACCTGACCATTTCATTGACTAATCCTTCACATCATCCAGAGCCCGGGTTATATAACAACTCTTCCAGATCCTAGTATAGTAAAGACAAGTGTAGAAAATACGATCTGTGTTTTAATCAGATTGTGTTTATCGTGTTAAGCTGACAGATGATGAGCAGGTTCACCATTCATTATTATAAGATGGCATCATACAAGATCTCTTAAAAAGTTTTTGTTAGCATCAAACAAGATCTCTAAAAAGCTTTTGATAGTGTGCTGATTTAATATAAGCAATAAATGGGAACCATGAAAATAAAAATGTAATAATATTGATGTAGTCTAATCAAAAAATGTTTCAAGCTAATGCCTTTCTTTGTGTAAAAGAAAACTAAATCAAATTTGTTTCCATGAAAACACAAACACTATTTAATTTCTAATTGGCAATATGCACAAGTATTATTATAGATTGATGTGCTTACAGAGTTTTATGGTCTTGAATGGTTTATGAGATATACTCCAAAAACAATGTCTGGAAACCCCCCCTCCCCAATTTGGTTCACCATTGGATAAATATTCGCATTAAATGCAAGAAAGGTGTAAACGGGTATATTGTACATGTACAGTGATTATTGCATCATTATTACCCATACGATTCCCAGAAGTATCATGTACAATATAAATAATAAATAGAGTGTTATTACATGGATATATTATACTATTGATTATTATTCTGTGTAAAATGATATCTTAGCATGCATTAGAAAATGAGAAGTACAAACATTTATGTAATTTTAATAGCTTAAGTTTCATTTCATCAGATAATTAATAAACAACTATATATTAATAAATCATTTAATAACAATATGTAAATTTTATTGATGATAATTTAAAATGAAAAATATCACAATACTTCAAGATTATCGCCATTTCCCTAATAATTGCAATATTTATTGAAATATAGTGTAAATCAGATAATTAATAAACAACTGCATTCTATATTAATATTAATAAATCATTTAATAACAAAATGTAAATTTTATTGACAATAATTTAAAAGGAAAAATATCACAATACTTCAAGATTATCGGCATTTCCCCAATAATTGCAGTATTTATTGAAACATAGTGTAAATCAGATTAGTTATACATAAAAATTCATATTTGATAAATATATTCTCAACACTGCTATATTAATGCATAAGTTGTGTCTAAAATTAGTGTTTTATATTTTGCAACAGGATGCTGAAGGGACAGAGTTAATACCTCGAGAAAAAGTTGATAAAACAAAAGTCAAAATAAAGAAGGAAGACAAAGAGAAGAAATTGAAACGAAAGAAGATAATCGGTCCAGATGGTGTGGAGATTATTTCTCCCAAGAAAAACAAAACCAACCAAGATCCAGATAAACCTAAGAAAAGAAAAATAAAGATAAAAACTAAAGATTCTAGTATTACATTAGAGGCAGTAGAAAAGGAAAACACAGGTACACACACACAAACGATTTTTAGAAGAAACTTTTTTCTTAATCCATCTTTGCCATAGCACAGTTTTAATTAAAAAATATGTGAAAAAGTTGAAAGTAAAATGGATTCTGTTGGAGGGGTTCTTTAAAAGCAACCTTTTCATGTAATTCTATTGACAAATACATAAAATATTATGTGTGGGGGTGTATTTGCAAAAGGTTGAAAATGATATGAAATTGGGCTTGTACTTTCTGCACCAACAAGGATATTGAAGACAACTTACACCATGCACTGTCATACAAGGGAAGTTTGCCCAGACACTGGTATACTCTTGTATTGATCCATCAGGGGGTCTTGAACATGTCGTCAATGTTTTTAATCCCATCTGAACGAATAGACAAGTTTCATAGCTAGATGCTCTGTCCTGTACCGCTAACGTAACAGGGGAAAACTAAACTGGAAAATAGTCATACACACCAAGCAAAAATATTGAATTCCCACCAACTGAAGTATTTTGAAGCTGGTTATTATTGTTGATATTTAAATAATGGTGATTTATTTCAGGTAAAGGAAAAGATAAAAGTCCGGAAAAGAAGAAAGAGAAAATTAAAAAGAAGAGAAAAGGCAAGTTAAATCCTGATGGTACACCTATAGAAAGAAAGAAACGGATTAAAAAAGAGAAGAAATTATTAGGTGATGATGATGATGATGAAGAAGCAGCTGATGATGATTGTTCTGCTATCAAGTGCCTTCGTCCATCAGGTAAAGAATTTGAATCCTGAGATTCACAACTTATAAATAAATATAATCGGCTGCCTAAGCTTCCACTGTTAAGGATACATTTTCACAAAAGTATTTATCGGGTGGTTGTATGGCAAATTTGGTATATATGGAAAGTATAAACGCCCAATCTTACTAGAAAAATACTGGATTACCCGAAAAACACACTAGACAAAAATGTCAGTGTATCAATAACTGGCTTATTGTCTGCCAGCTTGACTTAGAGACTGGTTGTTATTTCTTGATGGAATGGTTACGCAGTTAGGGGAACATCGAGGAGTGTAAACGTATAACAGACTCTGCAATTAAATTGCAAAAAAAGAAGTTGGCAGAAAAAAATCCAAGAATTTACTTAGGCCTCAATATGTATAGTAAATGGACAGTAAGTAATGACAAATACATTCTGAAAAATGGGCACTCCCTCAATCAAGTTAGGTGACAAACATGGCTTCTAAAAATAGAATTTGGGGTAACTTCTCGCGACTACAAATTTTTGAGAGGGATTTGAAGCAAATTTCTGATAAAATAATTAGTTTTTAGTCCAAATATATCATACAATAAAACAGTTTGTATGCAGGAAGCTATCTTTAAGAGCCTTAAAAGATACATTATGTAAGATTTAGATAAAGAGCTGACTGTTCTTGCTATATTAGTTCAGAAATAGATAATGCAAAATGAATATATGGAAAATTTCATTCAAATTACTGAGCCAAGTTATCGTTGTTTGTAGTTTTGACAAGATGTGTGCTTTGATTGTTTATTATTGCTACCATGGTACTGGTATATTCGAGAATAAGCATTGCTTCTCCATGTTAAAAAAAAATCATTAAATGACCGAACCATTCTAATCTAGTTAAAATCTCGAGCATCTGATGGCATGGATAGTTGATTATGGTCTTGCCATGTTAAACGTCTAATTATTAATTTATGTAACATTTAAGGCCTAAAGAAAGACCTGCAATAGGCAAATTTAGCTTTTAAATAATATATCTTTAATGCAAGTGTGTGTGAGCTTTATTTAAAGGATCTAAATCGCTAATATTTGAGACCTAGAAATTGACACAAATGGATCGCAACACATATAATAATGTAATCTGGTTGTATATAAGCTGATTTATATTCAATTGTTTCCGTTTTGACTCTAATTTCAAATCAGCTATGTCCAGCGAAATACGGCATGAGTTTCAACTGAATGCCAATTTCTAGCGTCTGGTTATTCCAGTCTATTGCGCATTCTCTCCAGATAAGATATTGCGTCACCATTTAACATGAGTTGTGGAATATGTCTAGCCTCGTTCTTTCAGGTCACTTGTTACAAATGACTCTGAAACGCACTATGGTACACGATTTGTGTACCAATGGTGAAATGTTTATTTTGTCTTAAATATTGGATATCAGAAGCTTACCTTTTCCCGGTAAGAACGCAACATCAATGTTGATTTGAATTGACAAATAATTCGTGTTTTCAACCTGTAAGACTTTGGATGATATTGAGTTACAGACTTAGCTACTTTAATGTCCGCTTAAACCGAAGTGATTTCTTCGACAATTGCATTATTAGGTGATATTTTTTTACTTGTGTGATTAAAAGATGTATAAAACAAGAATCACTATTTGTACTATATTTCTTCCATGTTATTATCATTGTAGGTGATGAAGTAAACTGGGTACAGTGCGACAAGTGTGAATTATGGTTTCACCTTCTGTGTATTGGTCTTGCATCAGATGAAGTAACAGAAGAAGAGGATTATGTGTGTTTCCAATGTGTGCAGATAACTCGTGGAGTTATTCCCCCTTTCCAGCATATTAAACAAGAAGACGATTACATGTTATCCAGAGATAATTCAATGGTGGATAATTCGCAAGATCTGTCAATCAAAGAAGAAGCGGAAGATTTTGAGGAGGAAATGGATAGTGCCGCACCTGGGGAGGAAAATGTAGAAACTCTAATGGAGGATAACTCTGTTGATAGTGTTCAAACCGATAACAATGTAGAAACCGCAGATAACTTGCTGTGTGAAGAAACATTAGAACCTGAAACCTGTGACAATGCTGACGTTAGTGAAGAGTTAATTGCCCCTGACACATTATCTACTGTCGAGGATCAATCACAGCCAATATCTAGTGTTGTTAGTGTGGAACCTCAAACGGTATTATTGCAAACGGACAATGATATAGATTCAGAAAATGAAGAAAATGTTGAACCTTTAGCTTCGTTTGAGATTCCATCGTAGCCCTGTCTGAATTTGTCCTGTCTCATTTCCTCCTATTTACAAATGTCACATAGAGATTCTAGAATGGATGTTAATTGAAAAAAAGCATAGGAAGTCTACACAAAATAAAAAGATCAATTTCCGAGAGTATACAAGATTTATCCTTTTATTAAGGATTGGAATAGTCTCATTATTTTTTCGGTCACACTAATGATGAGATGGGGTTGGTGTGGGGGTGTCTTGTGATTCAGGTTACAAGAATCAGTGGCGAATTGTGTTGTGAAGTTTTAATTAAAAATCGATTAATGTTGAATAAAACTAGGTGTGAAATATAAACCAGTCTATATTTTGGATTACTACACAGAGAATGAGTGAAGGGATGAAGATAGTGAGATTGTTTTATTTTCATGTTGTTAATGATATTTTTTGTTGTAAAGTTATGGCAATATTATATAATGTAAATATTAAAGATGAAGTCATTTATTATTTATTTATAATCTTTCATACATCTATTTGTTTCTTGTATTTTGACGTATATTATCCTATTTTCTCTGCATATTCATATTTCTAATTATATATCATACATTGCATTACATCTTACATACGCTTATATATTTCATTACTATTTAGTGCTTTACATACAATTCTGTTTTAGCTCTGTGAATTAACTTTGTGAAACTGATGTTTTTACAAGTCTTGGTAAAAAATTGAATATTTCATTGAATTGTTCTAAATTATGAAATGCTTTCATGTTCATAAATGGTAGAAAACCATTTTGTTTAGCTGTTGGAATCTGTATTAAAATAAAAGAAATTATATCTGAGAATGTGTTGTGGTGATCTGGAATGATGCTAATTTTTTTTTTTCTAAAGCAATCTTGGCCAACATCTATCCACCCTTTGGTGTTTTTGTTGAAAATCTAATTCAGGGAGTTATTTTCAAACATTGTAATTAAATCAATGTTAAATCTCAAGCAGAGATCCTAATTCATCTCAAATTGTGTTTCTTTGAATTGAAAACCAAATTTGTTATGTGTCACTAGTGTTTTGTTATTTATTATTTTGTCATCATTTCTCTGTGTTATTTGTTACTTTATATGTTATTTTAAAGTATTCAACGAACTTTCCGAGATGGTGAAAGTCTGTAATTCAGTTTACTTTAATATGGTTAATTAACACTTAGTTTGTTTTTTTGTGTTTTTTTTTTTATACAAATAATTATTGACATGAAATTTAAAAAAAATATTTATATTTTTTTTAATGTGTACTTATGCATTTATTTCAGTTATGACTAATAAATTAAGAGCAAACAGGGTGACTATTTTTATTAAATTTTTTAAAATAGGAAGTTATTGTCAGAATATAACAACTTTAGATGAATGTTGTGTCTACAAATATATTAGTAATAAAGGTTTGTCTGAGTCAGCGAGTGTATGATATAAATGCAAATATAAATGTACACATTTCAAAATATATATATATATATCATTATATAAACGTTATATGTATATAATTTGTGTTTTACAGTGCATACAGTTTATTAATACAAATAAGAATATTCTAAAGTCATCTTTAACTCAGTATGAAACATTTTTCATGAAACTTTATCTAACTCAGAGTTATGGTGTGTAAATTAAATATGCCTGTACTCTTCTGAACATATTGTAGGTCAATACAAGCTTGAAAGAACGGCCCAAAATGTTAATGCATGTATTTCATTCTAGATGTATACCCATAAATGAAAATAGAACATAGCTTACATGATTTTTAGTTTTCTAGCCTAATAGTAAGGATGTACATAAGTTAATTTCATAGATATATTTCAAAAGAATAGTGTTTTAATTATCACTATATTAATGCTAACATAATGATGCCTTGTCAATGCTAAGATACATTGCTGATATTATTATTTTGTGTCTATAATTGTGCTATTGTCTTTAAATAATAATATTTAAAAAAAAAAAACCTGAATAAAGACAAATTACAATGAAAAGATATTGATACATACCGTAAAATATATATATATAAAATAAAATCATTGATTTGGATTAGATAAGATTGTGGGGAATACATGTATAAAATGAAAGTCCTGAACCGTGGAGATGGAGACGAAATGTTTCAAACCAAAATATAACGTTTGTGGGGGATGACATTGAACGTGTTTACAGTTATTTGTATAGAAGGGGAAACTGATATCCCATCTACAGATGCATGTGTATGTAAAAGATCTGCTAGCAGTTGTAAGATAAGTCGCAGGCAATGTGCTTTAGATTGCGGAGTAAAGTGACAAGGTTCTGCTTAACCCCCTGGGTTTTCTCCATCCTACCCACTTCTAAAGACCACTATGTCTATGCGGAATTATTGACATTTTACCATTTGTTAGTCCCAAATTAACCTAGTTTAAATTGAGTGGCGGTTAAATCCTTATCCTATTGACATTTTATTATTTGTTAGTCCCAAATTAACCTAGTTTCTGTTAAGTGGCAGTTAAATTCTTTTTATCCCATCGACATTTTACCATTTTTTAGTCCCGAATTAACCTAGTTTGTGGAGGTTAAATCCTATCTCTCTCCAGAGGCAATGCTGAACATTTTCCTTCCTAGCATTGCACATATAATAGAATACAACACAATATAAATTCTGGCTGGAACTTAAACCCCATTCTAACCAATTCCATTGAACCAGGTGCTGAAACAACCATACCATTTCAGAATCATACATTTAGAATCCTTTGAAATTAGTAAATAAGGTTTTGAATCATTATGATGATTATCTGGTAAAATACCCTGAATATGATGAAAATACATGTAAGTACTTCTAATAATCTTAAAAAATAATACCGATAAAAAATGAACACAATGAAGTTAGAATATTTTTATTATTACAATAATCATAACAGGTAAGCAAGCATTGACACTTTAATACCATTTATATATTATTACTGACTAGCTCCATATCCGGCTAAATCTATTTAAGATCAGCTTGATTTTCGCCAAGGTTGCGAGATTGTAGGTTAGGATTAGGGTAAGGGCTAGGTGCAGGGTTAGGGTTGGGATTAGCTCTACCCATGTTTACATTTTGTGACCTTTGACCAAACTTGGCCTTATCATATAGATCTAATCATCGATACCAGGCATCGCCTGGGACCCAAGCAAGATCTGCTTACTCACCATCTCCCTTCCTTGCGCGCTTTCCGACTAGCTTACATCATACGTTACTATTATTAAACTTAATTACCATGCATAATAAACAGCGTTATCCACGTTAACCGTTAATAGTCCAACATTGATTTTTAGCTGTGTTAAACTAATAAATGATGTTGACCTTCATAAATCATGGCCTAAAACATTCACGGGGTCATGCTGGTCAATTTTATACCACATGTGGGGGTGGATCACGGCAACGAAGCGTGATGGGCAAACATACACCAGGGGCGGATCCAGAGGGGGTCGGGGGGCTACATAAATTTTTTTGTGATCAACACTTTTTATGAGAAAAGTTTCTCGGCCGTGTGGTTTATCCTTTATCGTCAGATGTGGGACAGGATGGGCACTCAAAGCACGAGATAATGATATAGACATTATGTGATATCACAATAAATGCTTTGCATCCATGAAATTGAATCACAATGTCATTGTATTAATTCATAATAAAAATTGACGTCAAACGAGGTGTTGAATTTTTCTGTTTAAAAAGCTCAATGTGTAATATGCATATACGCCAAAATGACGATAGAGACCATGCGGGAGGAGGGGGGGGGGGAGAGATACATTGTCTCAGGAACCTGGCAAACCCCCTCCTGCAAAAATTCCTGCATCCGCCCCTGTACACCCATACATACACACATCTTTGAAGATAGATACCCTATCTATGTTACATACTAGGTTCATTTTAAAATTGCATAAGAATACAGTAGTAGATTAGTATCCTATATTCCATTCATTCTATGGTTTTTCATTCAATACACAATCTGATTAAAACACAGATCCAATTTCGTTTCGTTTTTATAGTTTAAAATTTCGATTTTACTTGTCTTTACTACATGCAGTGTAGGCCATCGAAAGTATAAAAAACGAAACGAAATATAGATCTATATTTTAATTAGATTGATTCAATACAATAACACAATCCGAGAATATTACCATTACATTAGAAAATGATCTCTGCTTTTTAAATTCATTCTGTAATTTATTATTCAATAGAAAATCTATTAAAATACAAATTAATAAATATATACAATTTAAACAAACATAAGTTAATTAAATAAATACAGTTTAATAAACTTAGTTTTTTCAAAAATAAAAAATTTGAATAGCACAATCTAAATTACAATTGGTTATTTATAAGTTCAGTTTGTATGAAGATATTACAAACACATTAGGAAATTAATACCTATAAATTGTGTGAGATAATCTTTAATAAAATACATATTTTATCAAGTACATAGTTTGTAAAAAAAAAGTATTTTCTTTAAATATTTAAAACAAATTATCTGAATATTAAAACTGGGTATTAATTGAAGGAAATACTTCTTATGAAAATATTACAAATTAACCATATTTTTTAAAAAATTATTCTGTTATTTATTATTCAGAAAATCTATTAAAATATAAATAGTAATAATAACAAAAAATACAATTTAAAAAACACATATATTAAGGATATAAATAAATACAGTTTTTAAAAATATATTTATTTTTATATTTAAAACACATATTATCTGAATGACACAATTTAAGAATATCACAATTGTCTTAAAAACCATTTAGTAATTGAACACATTAAAATAAACACAATTGTCTTAATTCCAAGTATGCATTTTATGAAAATATTATAAAATTAAATGTATTAGGACATTTATAGGTGTGATAATCTTAATAAAGTGATACCAACTGCAGGTATATATTAATCAATGGAACATCAATTAAAATACAACAACAAAATAAATAAATAACATAATATTATGTAATATGAAAATAATTACAAATGCATAAGGCAATTTATACCTAATTATGTGTAATAATGAAAATGAAAAATCTCAAACAGATTTAACTGAAATTTTCCCCGCTTTTTATCTCTGATAAAGTGGCTTCTTTCTGCCTTCACTGCAACATAAACACGAGTTACCTGTATGCCCAAGAAAACCTTTTGTTTCCGTGAAATACTTAAAGAATTTTGATCTTGCAGAATAATTTCCCCGGGAAAATAAAAGATATTGATAACTCATTCTTGGTAATTTTCTTTTGCTATTCTCTTCAGAAGATCCTGGAATTTTAAGTTGAATAGTGTTACCATTCCAAATGTTCCAAGAATTATCAGAATCACTTGACGAATCTTTGTTTCCGAGACAGTTCTTTGTATCATCTTGAAACCCATCAGAATCGTCTTCCCTGATTTCATCAACGAAACCAATCTTATAATCTTTAAACGGTTCGTCTACACAGTTTTTCTCCGATTGGAAAGTGCCACTATAAGAACACGAGTTATCTTCGAATGAATTTGAACATTTTCTTTCTAATTCTAAAAGTTTTGCTTGTGCTAGTGATTTTAAAGTATATTTATGTGGACAATTTTCGAGACCAAAATGCGTGTTTGTCAATAACAGATTTAGTTTAAAACAATGAATCATTTTTTTCAGCAAATCAAAACTTATCGAACCAAAAGGTTTCTCCGTTGACAAGGCATCCGGGTCTAATGATAAATCAAGACTTTTACTTCTGAAGATCTTGCGATGTTTCACCTGTTCGTGTGTGGAATAATCAGGTTTCGAAATCGTTTTTGATTCAATGTCCATGTCATTTATTAATTTCGATCTGCCAGAAGCTGGTTTTCTTCGTAAATATTTACACGCTGAACACAAACAATTATCCACCATAATGTTCTGAAAATCATTGAAATAATTCATTTTCCTTTCTTCAAATAATACTTTAGACATTTCTTCGTTTTCCGTATTTCTCCTCACAACTAACCCAGGCATATTTCGGATTCTGCAAAAGCAGTTTTCTACAACTGTCTTTTGATGCTATCACTAATTTAACAGCAATAAAGTTGACAGATTTTGCAAAGTTTCAAATCCATCTAATCACAAAAGCGTGTGTGATAGTCTATATGGTGTTATACATATATAAATGTATGATGAAACAGCAATAGTATATTAATCCTATATATGTATCCTATAAAACTTCTAGTATTTATAACAGTCGACCAGACACTCCTATGCATACCTAAAACTAACTGAGGTAATCTCTTAACCGCTCCTGCTTATATACCTTCACTACGAAAAATCAATCGGACGTTATCAATTCACTTCAAAACGTTCATTCACGATTTCTGTCGCGCGCGACCGTTTTTGTGAAGCACCTAAGCGGTTTAGCTGTAGTTGTAGGGATTGACAATTCTCCCAAAATGTCTACTTATTCTAAATCCAGGTACTTTATTTTGTCTGGCTTATTATACCGTACAACTAAAACCCCTGTGTAGTATTGCCAGGTGGTTATGAAATCTTGAACGTTATCTAACACTATAACGTACGATATACCTACGTTACAGCGCTTCGCGGAGATCATAATTATTTCAGTACTGATTATCAATATACTAAGAAAAGTATATATATATATAATATATATTAGTATCATATACTTGAAAGACACATTATGGTCAACGTTATTGATCGTTGTTTTAGACAAAAAGCGTCATCCGCAAATAACTGCGCCATGCAGTGTATGGGGGACATTTTGCCAGTGCAGCTGAGCTACGGCCTACTCTTATTTCGAATTCCAACTATCAATGGTTCTTTTACGTGCACACCAATGTGTACATCGGACCTCAGTTAATCGTCCCATCCGAAGAAATAAAATGAAATGTGGTTTAAAGTTCCACTGTTCTGCTCCGGATGCATGGGCTAATGAAGACGGGCGGTGTAATAGGCATTGATGGGGTAATCCTACGGATGGTTTTTATATTCATTATAAACAATACATTACTTAAATTTAACAAAAATAAGAACCAAAAAGGTTTTTGTAAATAATTATTACTACGAATAGACAAACAAATAAAATAACCTGGTAGATGTGATTCTTCAGTCGTTAACAGGAACATAACTTATTATAGTGACGTAAACTATATAGAAGTAAATGTATAGGTGGTCCTAACTTACATTAGGATTGATCGATTTTATTAAAAAAATGTTTACCAATACATTTTTAGCAAGACTATTGTACGACTTGTGAAATCTTGATGAAACGTCGAAGTGTAAGTGTAATAAACCATAGTTATTGTTTTATTTGAATAAACACAGAAATGATTAGTGCACCTCATAGTATGTAATGTTATAACGCATTTATATTGAACGAATCAAATCCAACATTTTCTATAGCACACCCTATTCTAACAAACCATCACATATAGGTGGTATCAACAAATAATACAATTTCAATAAAATATTGGATATGAAGAAAAACATTGTGGATTTTTATAGCAAAACGTTTGATATTTACTGTCAAATTGCTCTTTTATTCTAAAAATGTCAATCAATTATTTTGGTGATAAACATTTACCATTTAGAGACCACGGAAGATGTTAAGTGGAGAACGCTTATAAGAAGATATACATGTCACAATTCTATGAAATACAATTACTGCTTATTACTGAGCATAGGCGTACGGGCTCGATGACAGTTAAGGGGGGGGGGCGGCAGAACCCGAAATGCCCGAAAAAATTTCGGGTTTACAGACAGCGGCGTCGGTCTTCCTCGAGAGGCGAAGAAACAGAGCTTACCTTGCATTGCCCCCCCCCCCCCCAAGAAAATTTTGGAATATTTGACGGCTGTAAACACGTTTTCCTGCTATTTCAGTCCTTGAACAAAGTGGTCTATTATAGCCTAATTAAGATGGCTGACTCGAATTCCAATCAAAAGATCAATCGTTTACAGTCCACGAAGACGGGACCGTTAGCAGAAAATTTTGAAAATTTCACTGCCGCAAACGCGTTTTCCTGCTATTCCAGCCTGTGAATACAGCAACTTCAATTTGGTCCAATATAGCCCACCTGACTGACCCGAATTCCAAACAACCAATCAATCGTCGCGGAGTATGGAGGCCTCACCCCCCCCCCCCCCCCCCCCCTGGAAAATTTTTTGAAAATTGAACCACGGCATATGCGTTTTCTGATATTCTAGCTCGTGTTAAGAAACTCCAACAGTATCCAATGGTTTTGTAACCTAATTCCCATTTTGAATTCCAACCATTCAATCAGACTGTTCCAGCTGCATTCACAAATAATAATCGATGACCGAAAAATGTCGCACAAAGTAGAGTGGCTCCAGACAAAATGTTTTAATCCATAGTCAACTCAGTACAAATTCGTGGTATTCAATTAAAAGATAAGTAAAATTAGTGTTTTATTAGGGCTCGGTGACAGGAAAGCAAAACTAGAAATGCCCGAAAAAATTTCAGGTTTACAGACAGCGGCGCCGTTTTCTTCGTGAGGCGAAGAAGCGGAGCTGACCTTGTAAGGACCCCCCAAGAAAATTTTGGGAATATTTGACGGTCGCAAACGCGTTTTACTGCTATTCCAGCCCGTAAAATTAGTGTTTTATTAGATTTCGGGCACTTTATTTTGCCAAGTAGATGAAATAATTTTTTTTTCACTTTACCCGTCTGCCTGAAAAGTCAGCTTGCCCGAAAGTTAGGGGGGCAGCTGCCCCCCCCCCCCTGCCCCCCTGGCTCGTACGCCTATGTTACTGAGCGACGTTTCGACCAGGCTTCTCTAGTCATTATCAAGCAATGATAAAATATGAAAATATAACAGGACAATATATACATGTACACAACAATACTTAGTTAATGCTGACCAACCAGAGATACCCCTTAATTACGTGTACCTATAGAGAATCTAATTTAATTAAGGATTATAAAGTTTAACGCTAATAACAACATTCAGTAAGACCAATTTACCTGAAAATTAACACAAATTGATTAATTAATTAATGGATAAGTTGTTATGGAGTATATACAATAATTATTAGGTTTTAAATGTCAAGTGACGTCAAATGTCTTGTAATTCAAATTTGGTCATATCGTTTTCATGTTGGAATTTGGAATGCTAGAGGCGCTCTAAACAGCGTTCTCGGAACTGATAAAATTCAAAATTTTCTAGAGACCGGGGGGAGGGGCCTGGCCCACGCGCCGTTCCGGCGCCTCTGGGAATATTTACAATGATTTGATCAGGTTTTAATAATCACAACACCCTAAGAAGATGAGATTTGATTGGTATTGTAACGAAAAATGTTGATATATGCATGTTGATGTAAGTGATTCTACTGATATATGAATAACCCTTTGAACAATGACTGCATTTTCCACTCCGTTCATCGTGCAGGTGTCGGACGTTGGGCAGTCCTTTTGTCTACTTCAACTGATTAGTATGTTTATAAAGATAAGTCAGAACAATATTCATCATCATGAAATTTTAAAATGGGCCATTGTCATATAGCACGTTCATAACTCATATCAGTTATCTAAGGATATTATCAGAGAAACATGCAAAGCTCTGTTGAGCAGCGGATACAGTAAGTTTGGTCGATTTTCATCGACAACGGCGGAACAAAAATGGCGATAGATTCAAAAAATGACGGTGGGTTGCTTAGCTTTTGTTTTTACATTTTTGTGAGGAAGTGTAAGAATTTTTCTTATAGAAACAAGATGTGTAACTGCAATTAATGTATCTATATAAAATTGTTTTCCATTCAGTGTCTTAGACATCGTATTGGTGTACATAACCTTTATTAATTTATTATCTCCAAAATTTTATTTTCAGTACCATGCTGTTTATCACAAAGATGGATTTTATCTTACATAAGTTGTTGGGCTTTTGTTATGGTATACGCTATACGGATTAATTTTAGTGTTGCCATTGTATGTATGGTTGATCCAACTAGTAATTTTAATAGTACATTTGATACCAGTTTTAATGGAAATTATACCAACTCTACAGAATCAAATGTCCTTATTAATAAAAACCAGGTAAGACTTTATCATATAGCCAAACGAAAAAACTGAAACTTTATCACCGGTATATTTAAAGTATAATGTTTGATAGTGGTAGTATCAAAGGAGTCTCACTTGAACCACCTCTTTTCTGCATCTTTTGCGAATGAATTCGGTTCATGATTGAACAATCACTGATGCCTGTTTTACTCTAGTATGTCCCACACGAGCATATTAATTCTACAGTTTTTACATAGTGTTTTATTTCTCCATGTATAGCTAAAGAGATAATTAATAAAATCTGTATCAGTAAATACCCAGTTCTTTATTTTCAGGGTGAATTTGATTGGCCCAAGTCAGTGCGATCAAGTTTATTAGCCATGTATTACTATGGTTATATCCTACTTCAAATTCCCGGTGGCTGGGTAGCGACACGATTTGGTGGCAAGAGAGTTCTGGGTTTGATGACATTTATAACATCTATACTTACCCTTTTAACACCTGTGTGTGCCAGACTTCATGTTAATGCTCTATATGCTATACGATTTATGATAGGATTCTGTGCAGTAAGTGTAAACATTAAATCATAATACAAAACCAAAGACGTCAACTGACTTAACCAATGTATGCATAATTTCCTTTCATTTTGAAGTAACAAATAACAAAACATACTTGTTTTAAATGGTTTGAAAAGAGGCTTATTTTTTTATCGGATCGTTAAATAGCTATATCTTGCATATTTTGTTCTCCGCACATCTTCTATTCTTGAACAATATAAGGAAACGCCATGTAGCGCAAATTTTGAATAAATGTATAAATATGGAAATATTTCAGGGTGTTTCCTTCCCAGCCATGCATTCCATGTGGGGCAGATGGGCACCTCCTCTAGAAAGATCAAAACTAATGGGTCTTTCGTATTCAGGTAAGTGGAAATGGTCTAAATCCGAATCTCTTTTGAATATCCAATTTTAACTTCAATCGCGTCTTACAATTTGAGACGCCGATTCCCAATCCATTTTGTCAAATAATTTAAGAAAATCTAAATATAGGCTATATTAAATTTAGTAGTTTAAGCTCAATTACATCAAACACTATCAGAATCCGATAGCAATCATTGTGTACGTCTCGATAACGTCGTTTAGTGCAAACACGCTCTATCTATGTTGTCAACTAGGAGCTAAATCTCTAACTCATATAATATTCTAAATTAGAATTCAATATTGATCAATTTCAATAAATATTGATGTTGTTATCTTACCATGAAATTATAGGATCCTATAATATCCAGTATTTAAGACACAATTAACATTTTATATTCTATGGTTTCGGGTGCCATTTTGTAATGAACAAATAAAAACATATTCTACAACTTTGAACTATCAACTTTTTTATTTGCATATTACGTCCATTAAGAAGAGTTTACAAAACATACACATACATCAATATACTACAAGACAATGTGGAAGTAATTAGAAATGGCTGATTCTTATAGTCAAAATATTACTAAAAAAACGTGTAGAATGGACTAAGCAGGCGTAAAAGACATACTAAACTTAGACTGCCTGTCTACAGTTAGCTCCGCTTGATACTAAGCTGGTTGACTGACATTTTAAGTCCTAAATCGACGATTTTAGTCGAAATCACTAAGTGTACTTAGAGAATTTTGAGAACTATTTATTCTGCTTCTATCTAATGGAATTGAATAGGTTTATTTAGTCTATGTGTGTATGCCACATGTGAAACGGAGTAGAACCGCATTACAAAATAATATATTCATTTTTGGATATGGCGGCCATTCAGGACAGAGATTTATTCTCGATGTATGCAGTAGATGGATCTATGTGTGCAGAATGGTGTAAACGATTGCCTTTCACTTCAGTTTAAACTGTTCACGTATTTCACCGAACATAATAGATTAGAAATTACAATATTTTTTTTCACCAATAGAACATAAATCACTTTATATACACTCATATAAAATGAATACGAACATTTAGAACCCCTTTTCGTCTATTTTAATGTTCCAAAAAATAGAGCCATAAGGCCTAATTGAGAAAATGTGGAGCTTTGTGAGATTTAATAGGTTTGTAGATGAGGTTAATAAGTTTTGATTTTACACAACGAAAAGGTTGGATTTGGGCGATACGAATTGATAACAATATTTCTACTATAAATATCTCAAAGATAGACTTTTATGAATTATATACTTTAGGTCCAACTATTGGTGTTATATTAACGTATGCTGTATCAGGTTTATTATGTGTTTATGGTTTTGACAATGGTTGGGGATCTATATTCTATGTTACTGGTAAGTAAACTTTCTGAGCACAAGTAAATAATCAAAATGGTCTTTTAACTACAGCACTGAGTAAGCCTGTCCCTTGTCTACTAATTAATTAAATAACTGTTTTGACAATGGTTACCACATTTTCACTTTAAAAGGTTTATAATGAATAGGACAGTTGGATGGTCGACATCTGAACAAAACTTGAAATTCATATTGTCCAAAGATGGGGTTGCAAAAATAATTTTAAAAACCTGAAAACTATGATTTCGGTGAATGTTGGTATATTATGGACTGTATCACAGTATTAAATTTGTAGGTATTGTTGGTATATTATGGACTGTATCACAGTATTAAATTTGTAGGTATTGTTGGTATATTATGGACTGTATCACAGTATTAAATTTGTAGGTATTGTTGGTATATTATGGACTGTATCACAGTATTAAATTTGTAGGTATTGTTGGTATATTATGGACTGTATCACAGTATTAAATTTGTAGGTATTGTTGGTATATAATGGACTGTATCACAGTATTAAATTTGTAGGTGTTGTTGGTATATTATGAACTGTATCACAATATTTAATTTGTAGGTATTGTTGATATAATTATAATGGACTGTATCACCATACTTGTACGTATTGTTGATATAAATATAATGGACTGTATCTCAGTGTTAAAGTTGTACAATCTGATTAAAATACAGATCTATATTTCGTTTCGTTTTTTATACTTTCGATGGTCTACACTACATGAAGATCTGACAAGTTGTACTATAAGGTCGTGTCAGGGGTCGTACCAGCGGCTTTTGACCCTATGACGTCAGACATTGATTAATCAATCAGCGTTGGCGTTTCTAGTGATTTACCCACAATTCCGTGCATGGCACGCCAAGAAGTCGCCGTAACAGACTGTTTCATTGGCCTGCCCCTCACTTCAACCAGTGTAGTAAAGACGAGTAAAACGAAATTGTGAACTATAAAAAAAACGAAACGAAATAGGATCTGTGTTTAAATCAGATTGAAAATTGTAGGTATTGTTGGTATATTATTGACTGTATCACAGTATTGACTTTGTAGGTATTGCTGGTATATTATGGACTGTATCACGTATTTGTAGGTATTGTTGGCATATTATGGTCTATTACATGGTATTTTATGATACACGATACACCACAAGAGCATACCAGAATAACGCCCGCAGAAAGAAGATATATAGAAAATTCTATTGGCAGTCGACCACAACTTAAGGTTTGCAACGATCCTGCATAGGTGTGCAGGGCAAACAAACTCGTACATTTTCATGGCAAAACCTGGTTATGTTCAAGGCAAATTATTCAGTTTTAAAATCATCAAATTTATTAACCCCCTTTTCTACTGAGAAAATCTATTGACGTTTCCAAATGATCTTTCTGTAATTTGCTAAATCTGTAGCCTAAACCCCAGCATTTAGCCGCCGCAGTTAGCAATATTACAACCAAGTCAAGCCGTGGCATTATTTTTCGTGAGAAATCATATTTTGCAAAGTGAAGTGGACGCCCTTATGAACTTTTGAAGGACTGGGGGTTCTGTTTCACAAAGAGCCATATTTGACTACTATATTTAAAAGCAGTTTCCAAACCTTATCAAAAGTTTACACTGGGTCCAGTAGGATTTGTTGCACACAGACTACAAAAAATAGCATTTATCTATGATGATTACAAACTTTTTGTGTGTTGAAATCAAAGACAATTCCCAGTTTACACACTATATATATACCGGTAATCGTTCATCGATTAGAAGTCCTTTTTCATTATATCTATAGGTTCTTAAAACTCCTTGGGTAAAGATGTTCACATCGTCAGCTCTATGGGCGTGTCTGGTATCACACGTGTGCAATAACTGGACTAACTATACATTACAGACTAGTTTACCGTTATTTATGAGAGAAGTACTAGAATTTGATATCAAACAGGTATAAATAATAATTAGTTATTTTTGTCATGATTAAAGTTACAATTTCACATTTTTAAGTTATATTTTTAAAATGTATTAAAATAAAGCCTTAAAATATATGGTATCTATAAACAGCCCTACCTTGTTAAAGAATAATCCTATAAATCCGATAATTCACTATTGCCAGTTGAGAAATTGGCAAAAATATCATTTTCAACTTCAAATTCAAACGTTTGAAGATAGCTATTCCATGGGGGGAATAAAAAACAAGGGACGTAATTGTGTTATTATTTCCGGTGTGAAGATTTTTAAGTGTGAGAAAGATAACCTATGATCGTATGATAGTGAGTTGACAACCTATTGAGCAAAAGACATAGAAATGATTATGTTTTGACTTTCTTAGAAAATATGAAATTGTAACTTTAAAAAGTAATGTCTCTAAACGTCCTTTGAATTTGACAACATTCGGCCTCCTCTGCAGGTGATATAAACGGGTTATGGTCATTAGATAACGATATTGTCTGAGCATGTTATAAAATACTGTTCTGCCAATATCATACATCTGACGCGTATCTGGCGGAATAGGGAGAATAGTATTATTTCTGTTATGCCATTGTATTTCCATTTGGCGTCGTGCATCTTTATTATCCTAGTCGTCATCGTTGCCAGGAAAGCCTGTAATCGGGACGTATATTGCCTACGGGCGCAAGAAGGGGTCTCGAGTGTACAGATCCATTATGCTGAGTTAATCGATTTCGAATATTTATAGTATGTCCTGCATACGAACGTTGTGGTTGACGTGTATTTACAATTAAATAGGCGAATCCAATATAGGCGAGAACAATAATCAAATGGAGACGTTTTGTTTACCTTCAAAGATCACAGCAAATTGTAGCGATTTCATAGGTCAGCAGTTCTTTGCCAATTGTCATCGCTAAATCCACGACAAAATAAAATCCTAAAGTAAGAAAATAATTTGGATATCTGGTTAGCAGGTCTTTCGCGCGTATGAGCTCGTTTCGGCAACTTGGATAAATTGTTGAATTTTCAAAAATATTTTTAGACCGATGGATGGAACAAAAAGTCATAAAAATCTGGCCCAGCTTATGGCCTATGACTACGAGAACTAGAACAAACTTCGATGTTCTCTTCAACAAATGCGTAGGGGTGGTTCCAGCAATGGGATCGATCGTGTAAAACGCCGAATGACGCCATCAGTGCGCAGCGGAGTAACTCGAATTCTACTACGAAAATCGAGGACAGATTGATCCGCGTAATTCTACTCTTCTAGTCAAAGGTTTAGCTCCTCTTTCATAATCAGTAACTTACTGTCCTCAGTACGCAGGCGTTTTGGAGGGGTGAAAAATATCGTCATTTCCTAACCTTTGGGCTGTCGCTGAAAAGTAGTGCCCGGAATTTGAAATGGCTCGCTGCGCGACAATGGCTACTGACCATGTGGGACCAGGCGTCCAACGCCATCTATAGTCTTCACTAAATCCCATTTATATCGTCAATCCATTTGTAAAGGGTTGTCCATCCCGTAAATGACGTTCAGAAAGTTCAATGAAAAGTTAAATAATCATTATAATATGGATCTCAGCAAAAGACTACTGAAATGGAATTGAGCTTAACGTCCTATTTTTTTTTATGACACCAACCAGGAGAATACATATGCGCATACGTGTGCATTGGGGGCATTTGTCCGGACAGCGGCCTACTCTTATTCGATTTCCATTTGCCAAGAGATCTTTAACGTGATGTCAATGTTATACACTGGGCCTCGGTTTTTCAAATTGGTTTAGTATTTAAACAGTTCCTGGACCGAAGTATTTGAACGGTTCTCTTTTTCTTCTTTCAGAATGGATTTTTATCAGCAGTACCGTATCTATGTAATATTATATCAGCTAATACTAGCGGTCATATTATAGATTATATAAGAAGTAAAGGCTACTGTAGTACAGGAGTGGCAAGAAGATCAGTACAAACCATTTGTAAGTTTCTGTATATATAAAGTTACTACATAATATATATTATGTTCTTTTACATAATGTGATTTACCCAGCCCCAGAGTGTCTTTAGCGGAAATGTTATTGAGAATATTTAAGAAACGTTTGGGTTTATAGGGTCAAGTTGCTTCTATTGGCAGTTGGCCTATAATTTCGGACTGCATGCTTTCATTTTCAGACCGGACCTTTTTCCCTTTTCAATATGACTATTCAACTTTTTTATAATTTAGTTCAACAGAGCCAGTTTTAAAGCCGTGAATTATAAGATGCACATTATACCTTTGTCATTTTGAAATTCAGCTTTTGTGGGCCAGTCAGCCTGTTTGGTTGCTGTGGGATTTATGGGAAAAGAACAGAGGCATATTGCCGTTGTTTTCCTCTCTTTATCCATGGCTTTTACTGGATTAAATAAAGGTGGATACGTCATCAATCATGTAGATTTCGCACCTAGGTAAGTTTTCTTTTAATAAATTCAAATTGAAATATGCCCACTGAAAGGGAGAGCGATAAATGGAGTTTAACGTCCACTGGACACAAACTAGGTCATTTCGGGACTAACACATGGTTCAATTTTATTTAAATAATGCGATGATACTGTTATTATAAATATAGGATACTCATATTATAAACATACCGATACTTATTTTATATAGGATGTCAATATTTTAATCATACCTATATGTTCCACACATCGGATACAGATATTTTAAACATTCTGATACAATTATCGGGTAAGCTATACAAAATATTTAATAAAAAAAATATGAATTAGTAGAAAATCTCGTCTCGTAGTGAACTAGCGCTATATCAAAATAATATTATTATTTTATACCGATCCGATAGTCTCAACATAATATGACACCGATATTCTAAACATAGGATATACCGATATTCTATTATGATATTGATATAGGATAAACGGTATTCTAAACATACCAATAGGATAACAATATTCTAAAAAAAGTATTCTGATATTATTCTTAACATATGATAGCCTATCGATATTCTATACATGACTCATGAGATACCGATGTTTTAAATATAGGATATGATACCGATGTTTTAAACATACCGATGTTCTAAACACAGTATACCAATCTTCTAAACCTAGGATATGTAGATATTAAAGGTGCATGGTATAAGATTTATAGATAAGGATCAGTTGGTCGTTTATACAAGAATAGTTTAAAGGGCCAATCTCGAATATATTTTGGAGAATATAACTGTTTAATTTTATGTTAAAAGCCCTAAAATCCTCTACCTTGGGGTCGAGCAGCTAACTCAATATATGTGAAACGTTTTCAAACAACTAAAAACCGCCAGCCCTGATCTGGCAATGAAGACCAGTGTCCCAAGCTGTATTACACCGTGTCTGGATAATACCAGATTTTTATTTTATAAAACACGTTATCAAGTACAGCCCGTGGGTCGCGTTCTGTATAGACCTCTAAAGGAACGGCAATAGACTACCAGGTCACCCAACGATAAAAATTGACCAGAAATCTTAACAGGGTTACGTGTCCGGATAAGCGGTTTTGACGTCCATGTCCAAACGATTCAATATTTTGAGCTAAAATTTTGAGACATGGTAAATACGTCATTCCTCTATATTTTGGCTCTTAAATGTCATACGTACACGGACTTTCATTTCTGAGACTGTGTTAAAATCGATCGGGATGGTCCCTTTAAAAATAGATAATGAAAAAGGAATATTGAAAATTTCAGTCAAATTACTTTATTCTGAGCGAAGTTATGACAGCTCGAAGAATGGCGTAGTCTCGATTTTCATTGTACGGCTCTTACGATAATGAACTAAGTCTCGATTATAAATTTTTTTAATTAAATTATTAAATGGCGATAAAGTTTCAATCCGTTCAAAATTAGAACCGTCCAATGGTCTACAGAGTTGATTATGGGCTTGTCCTGTGAATAATTTATATAACATTGAAGGCCCAAAGAAAGATCTGTAATAGGCAGATTTGGAGCTTACATAAAGCATCTTTAATTTGTCATTGGTTGTATTGTTTTCTTCGTTTTCAGATTTGCAGGTACATTATTTGGAATAACTAATACATTCGCTACTGTCCCTGGTATGGTGGCGCCTATTGTTGCTGGCGTGCTTACTCCAAACGTAAGAACATACATACTTCTTTTTTATGATCCTACAAGGGTATCAGAGATTTCAGTTCGATCTAATTGACAGTGGTAGGCCCCAAGACTGAAGTATAGTACCCAGTAAACTACACGTTACTGGTTCTGTGCCTTGATTAAGAATGAATTACGGAGAAAAATCAAACTATATTATTGAAAGATGTATTCAAGTTAAAAGTATTACGGAATTTGAGTTATGGAAGTAAATTGTACAGGAATGCTAAGTTTTCTTTTATCTCAGCAAGACATTATTCGTATTGTAGAGAACTGTAGAAGAATGGAGAGTGGTGTTTTACGTTTGTGCTGGAATTGGCATTTTTGGAGCTATATTTTTCGCAGTATTTGGAAAGGGTGAAGTACAGGACTGGGCACGTGATCCAGAATTAGAACATGAAATAGACGTCATGCAGCCTTTAAAAAACCCAGATGACAATACCGATGAAGAATCGAATATTTACCGAAAGAAATTTAAAAACTGAATATTACCTAACCGTTTTTAAAATTAGATTTTAGGATTCGTTATGGTTTATAATATGCAGATCTACTTTATAAATTGGTAGAAAATAATCGTTGTTAAAACTAATAGCCTAATTCTGAAAGTAAAAATCCTAGCCAGTGTATACTGGTTATATTTTTCAAGAATCCCGTCTTCATTAGCCCAGTCGGCGCCGAAAAGTAGGATGTTAACCCCATTTTAATTTATTTGCCAAGAAAGAGAATGAGTCTATATGCTTAAAATATTGTATTCGAAATAACTTGCATTCACAATAAAAGGCAGCTGTGTACTTCAATAAAGGCAATTGGGTTGGCCATTATGTTCCTATTATACAACTATCCAATGTCAATGTATATGATCAAAAATAAATAAAACACAATTTAAATCGGATTTTGTTCAGATTGTAGATAGTGTTAAAAAAAAGTGCATTCTCAGTAACCAAATTTTTGAATACACTTACTTTACTAAAATAAATAGACTGTTTTGGAAGAGCAAAATCTGCAAACAAAAGATCCAAAGACCCAACATCAATACAAATGTCATTGAAAGTTCTGTAGGTGTTATGAGGAACATTTTGCCTGAACAATGTGGTATGGCCTACCCTTATTTTAAATTCCAACTGTCAAGGGTTATTTTACCTGCATGCTAGCGTGTAAAATGAATGAACCTGGGTTTTTCGTGTCGTCTGAACGACTGTATGTTGTCCCTTACCAGGTCCTTTTTCCTACACCACTGACAAGGGAGAACCACATGGAAAAATCCTGATGAATTTTCTCGGCCAACACCGGGATCGAACACAGGACCTCCCGTTTAGCAAGCTAATGTCTTACAACAGAAAATAAAATAGGTTGACAATTATATTAATGAAAATACTACTACAGTATATTCCAAGCAGACCATACAGATTAGGCATTGTGATTATTTTGTTAAAAAAAGAATCTTTAACATGACATACATCATTGGAGGAGAGACAAGATTCTACTTCATAGAATTATCAGAAATTGAATGTGGTAATAATCAAAAACCAAGACAGGCTAATTCTACACTAAGGGCAATAACTCCAGGAATAATGCATGATCTGACAAACAGGAGTGACAGCATATATGCCCACTTTTTAATTTAGTCATATAAAAATCAAATCAAATCAATAAATTCTATTCATGTAATTCTTTTATTACATTAGTTATTTTATATATATACTTGAGGAATCTTCACTTATGTATAATAATAATTATAATAATATATTACAGCTTATTATGTACAAAATGGTTCCAAGTAGAAAAAGCACATTCTAAATAATTATATATTATAATAAACAAACTGATATCTTCAACAGGATATGGAGATAATGCATATCTTACTTCTATATTTACAATAAATTCCCTGATATTAAACACAAAATAGGAGAGAAAGAACAAACAAAATATCACCAAACATTAAGAGTGGTTCTCAAACACAACTCTTTATATTCATATACAAACACACATAACTAGATAAGTCAGAACAATATTCATCATCATGAAATTTTAAAATGGGCCATTGTCATATAGCACGTTCATAACTCATATCAGTTATCTAAGGATATTATCAGAGAAACATGCAAAGCTCTGATGAGCAGCGGATACAGTAAGTTTGGTCGATTTTCATCGACAACGGCGGAACAAAAATGGCGATAGATTCAAAAAATGACGGTGGGTTGCTTAGCTTTTGTTTTTACATTTTTGTGAGGAAGTGTAAGAATTTTTCTTATAGAAACAAGATGTGTAACTGCAATTAATGTATCTATATAAAATTGTTTTCCATTCAGTGTCTTAGACATCGTATTGGTGTACATAACCTTTATTAATTTATTATCTCCAAAATTTTATTTTTCAGTACCATGCTGTTTATCACAAAGATGGATTTTATCTTACATAAGTTGTTGGGCTTTTGTTATGGTACATGCTCTACGGACTAATTTTAGTGTTGCCATTGTATGTATGGTTGATCCAACTAGTAATTTTAATAGTACATTTGATACCAGTTTTAATGGGAATTATACCAACTCTACAGAATCAAATGTCCTTATTAATAAAAACCAGGTAAGACTTTATCATATAGCCAAACGAAAAACCTGAAACTTTATCACCGGTATATTTAAAGTATAATGTTTGATAGTGGTAGTATCAAAGGAGTCTCACTTGAACCACCTCTTTTCTGCATCTTTTGCAAATGAATTCGGTTCATGATTGAACAATCACTGATTCCTGTTTTACTATAGTATGTCCCACACGAGCAAATTAATTCTACAGTTTTTACATAGTGTTTTATTTCTCCACGTATAGCTAAAGAGATAATTAATAAAATCTGTATCAGTAAATACCCAGTTCTTTATTTTCAGGGTGAATTTGATTGGCCCAAGTCAGTGCGATCAAGTTTATTAGCCATGTATTACTATGGTTATATCCTACTTCAAATTCCCGGTGGCTGGGTAGCGACACGATTTGGTGGCAAGAGAGTTCTGGGTTTGATGACATTTATAACATCTATACTTACCCTTTTAACACCTGTGTGTGCCAGACTTCATGTTAATGCTCTATATGCTATACGATTTATGATAGGATTCTGTGCAGTAAGTGTAAACATTAAATCATAATACAAAACCAAAGACGTCAATTGACTTAACCAATGTATGCATAATTTCCTTTCATTTTGAAGTAACAAATAACAGAACATGTTTGTTTTAAATGGTTTGAAAAGAGGCTTATTTTTTTTATCGGATCGTTAAATGGCTATATCTTGCATATTTTATTCTCCGCACATCTTCTATTCTTGAACAATATAAGGAAACGCCATGTAGCGCAAATTTTGAATAAATGTATAAATATGGAAATATTACAGGGTGTTTCCTTCCCAGCCATGCATTCCATGTGGGGCAGATGGGCACCTCCTCTAGAAAGATCAAAACTAATGGGTCTTTCGTATTCAGGTAAGTGGAAATGGTCTAAATCCGAATCTCTTTTGAATATCCAATTTTAACTTCAATCGCGTCTTACAATTTGAGACGCCGATTCCCAATCCATTTTGTCAAATAATTTAAGAAAATCTAAATATAGGCTATATTAAATTTAGTAGTTTAAGCTCAATTACATCAAACACTATCAGAATCCGATAGCAATCATTGTGTACGTCTCGATAACGTCGTTTAGTGCAAACACGCTCTATCTATGTTGTCAACTAGGAGCTAAATCTCTAACTCATATAATATTCTAAATTAGAATTCAATATTGATCAATTTCAATAAATATTGATGTTGTTATCTTACCATGAAATTATAGGATCCTATAATATCCAGTATTTAAGACACAATTAACATTTTATATTCTATGGTTTCGGGTGCCATTTTGTAATGAACAAATAAAAACATATTCTACAACTTTGAACTATCAACTTTTTTATTTGCATATTACGTCCATTAAGAAGAGTTTACAAAACATACACATACATCAATATACTACAAGACAATGTGGAAGTAATTAGAAATGGCTGATTCTTATAGTCAAAATATTACTAAAAAAAACGTGTAAAATGGACTAAGCAGGCGTAAAAGACATACTAAACTTAGACTGCCTGTCTACAGTTAGCTCCGCTTGATACTAAGCTGGTTGACTGACATTTTAAGTCCTAAATCGACGATTTTAGTCGAAATCACTAAGTGTACTTAGAGAATTTTGAGAACTATTTATTCTGCTTCTATCTAATGGAATTGAATAGGTTTATTTAGTCTATGTGTGTATGCCACATGTGAAACGGAGTAGAACCGCATTACAAAATAATATATTCATTTTTGGATATGGCGGCCATTCAGGGCAGACATTTATTCTCGAAGTATGCAGTAGATGGATCTCTGTGTGCAGAATGGTGTAAACGATTGCCTTTCAGTTTAAACTGTTCACGTATTTCACCGAACATAATAGATTAGAAATTACAATATTGTTTTTCACCAATAGAACATAAATCACTTTATATACACTCATATAAAATGAATATGAACATTTAGAACCCCTTTTCGTCTATTTTAATGTTCCAAAAAATAGAGCCATAAGGCCTAATTGAGAAAATGTGGAGCTTTGTGAGATTTAATAGGTTTGTAGATGAGGTTAATAAGTTTTGATTTTACACAACGAAATGGTTGGATCTGAGCTATACGAATTGATAACAATATTGCTATTATAAATATCTCGAAGATAGACTTTTATGAATTATATACTTTAGGTCCAACTATTGGTGTTATATTAACGTATGCTGTATCAGGTTTATTATGTGTTTATGGTTTTGACAATGGTTGGGGATCTATATTCTATGTTACTGGTAAGTAAACCCTAACTTTCTGAGCACAAGTAAATAATCAAAATGGTGTTTTAACTAAAGCACTGAGTAAGCCTGTCCCATGTCTACTAAATACAATAAAATAACTGTTGGTTACCATATTTTCACTTTAAAATGTTTATAATGAATAGGACAGTTGGGTGGTCGACATCTGAACAAAACTTGTAATTCATACTGTCCAAAGATGGGGTTGCAAAAATAATTTCAAAAACCTGAAAAAACTATGCTTTCGGTGAATGGTGGTGTATTATGGACTGTATCACAATATTACATCTGTAAGTATTGTTGGTAAATTATGGACTGTTTCACGGTATTAAATTTGTAGGTACTGTTGGTATATTATGGATTGTATCACAGTATTAAATTTGTAGGAATTGTTGGTAAATTATGGACTGTTTCACAGTATTAAATTTGTAGGTACTGTTGGTATATTATGGACTGTTTCACGGTATTAAATTTGTAGGTACTGTTGGTAATTTAATGGACTGTTTCACAGTATTAAATTTGTAGGAATGTAGGTACTGTTGGTATATTATGGACTGTTTCACGGTATTAAATTTGTAGGTACCGTTGGTATATTATGGACTGTATCACAGTACTAAATTTGTAGGTACTGTTGGTATATTATGGACTGTTTCACAGTATTAAATTTGTAGGTATTGTTGGTAAAATTATGAACTGTATCACAATATTAAATTTGTAGGCATTGTTGATATTATAATGGACTGTATCACAGTATTAAATTTTTACAATCTGATTAAAATACAGATCTATATTTCGTTTCGTTTTTTTTTATACTTCCGATGGCCTACACTACATGAAGATCTGACAAGTTGTACTATAAGGTCGTGTCAGGGGTCGTACGAGCGGCTTTTTAACCCTATGGCGTCAGACTTTGATTAATCAATCGGCGTTGGTGTTTCTAGTGGTTTACCTACAGTTCCGTGCATGGCAAGCCAATAAGTAACGTAACAGACTATTTCATTGACTTATCCTTCACTTCAACCAAAACGCTGATAATATAACAACTCTTCCAGATCCTAGTGTAGTAAAGACAGGTAAAATGAAATTGTGAACTATAAAGATCGAAACGAAATAGGATCTGTGTTTTAA